GAAGAAGTGAAAGTTACGAAGTGAGAGTTTACTACCATTAATAAGGCTGTAGATGTACATTGCTACTGGCAGAACTATCCCTGGAGTGTTACAAAACTTTAAAATTCCCTAGGGAATATATCTGTGGGTCATGCTTTGCTTTGAACTGGAGACAGTAGTAACTCTAGGAGGTGAACACAGAATGTTCTAGATTTTATTGTTATCCATGGTACATTATATTTCTTTATATAGAAACAGAAGTTGCCCATAACAAATATTCCCACACTTCACCCTCACTGCCTCTTCATTCTATAGATGCTCTCAAGCTTCTTGTGACTTTTGTTGCAAGATGTTGTGACATGGCATCTGTCTCCCTATTAATCAGCAGGATTAAACTCCTGGATTTTTCTGTCCACAGTGTTCTATGAATTGCTATTTATTTGTAAACCAGCTTTTTTTTTTTTTTTTGAGATGGAGTTTTGCTCGGTTGCCCAGGCTGGAGTACAGTGGCACACTGTAGAGCGGCAAATGAAGACAAATTTATCTGATCTTCCTCTAATACAAAATCCACTATTAATAAACACCTTTCTTTAAAGTGCTATATAAAAGTATACTTATAATAGGAATGTTTCCTTTAATTTGTCTAGAATTGAAAGGGAAATAGGGGAGGCAGGGAGGTTCAAAAAATAAAAGGAACAGGAAATTGAAGGCATCCCGAAGCATTTTTGTTCGTCTGTTTGAGACTGAGTCTCACTCTGTCATCTAGGCTGGAGTACAGTGGTGTGATCTCGGTGGCTCCCTGCAAACTCTGTCTCCCAGGTTCAAGTGATTCTCCTGCCTCAGCCTCCCAAATAGCTGCGATGACAGGCGCCTGCCAACATGCCCAGCTAATTTATATATATTTAATAGAGACAGGGTTTCACCATGTTGGCCAAGCTGGTCTCAATTCAAACTCCTGACTTCAGGTGATCCACCCACCTTGGCCTCCCAAAGTGCTGGGATTACAGGCGTGAGCCACCATGCCCTGCCTAAACCAATTTTTGTGAGATGGCTTTTTAAGGTAATGTCATGAACTGCTTCATTCCTCTGCCAGGATCTGATTTAACCCTTCTAAAACATGGGTGGGCCCATTATACTGTGACCTGATTCCATGTTGGATCCCCACAGAGCTAGTCTTTGCTTTTCACTTGGAACATGCCCAATGCTGATACAGAGTGAAGATTCACTATAGATCTTATTGCTATCTATGGTACATTATAAAACTTGTCTAAATATTTAAAAGTTTAAAACAATCCTTACCAGTGGATGATGTCAAGAGTGTAAGTCTATACTCTAAGAATGTTATGAAAAAAAAAAGTATAAGTCAGGTACATTTCATAGTAAAATTAAAAGGCCATTAAAATTTTGTTCTTTCGGGCTGGGTGTGGTGGCTCACACCTGTAATCCCAGCACTTTGGGAGGCTAAGGCAGGCAGATCACCTGAGGTCAGGAGTTCTGACCAGCCTAGCCAACGCAGTGAAAACCCCATCTCTACTGACCAGCCTAGCCAACGTAGTGAAAACCCCATCTCTACTGAAAATACAAAAATTTGCCAGGTGTGGTGGCTGGTGCCTGTCATCCCAGCTACTCAGGAGGCTGAGGCAGAATTGCTTGAACCCAGGAGGCAGAGGTTGCAATGAGGCAAGATCACGCCATTGCATTCTAGCTTGGATGACAAGAGCAATTCTCAAAAATGGAAGAAAAAAATTTTTGTTGCTTTGTAAATGCTGCTTTCATTTTTTCATTTTGGAGTGGGGAGCCTTGCCTATAATCAGTGACTTGCACAGGGTCAAAATAGAGTGAGCATTTCTTTACTCGCATTTGATAGGCTGTTCTTTATCTTGCATGAAAAGATAATGACCTAGCCAGTCTCATCCTGCTGGGATTCATATCAATGGCTCCAGGGGGTTGAGATGCTTCAAAGCTGCTGTTCAAGTGGCAAAACCAGGTGTCTTACTTGGATAATACTAAAGTATGTCTTTTACGGCTTTATTAGAATCTGAATTGTAAACATTTGGTAAAGTGGATTAAAGTTCTGCTTTAAAATTAATCTCTGAGTATGTGAGATATGCCTTTGTGACTTTTGCAATGCAGCAAATTCAAGCTGTTTTTGAGGGAAGTTACGCTTTTTTTTTTTTTTTTTTCCTTTTTTGTGGCGAACGGGGTCTCGCTATATTGCCCAGGTAGGTCTCGAACTCCTGGGCTCAAGCTATCCTCCTGCCTCTGCCTCCCTAAGAGCTGGGGTTACAGGCATGAGCCACAGCACCCGGCTCAAGCTGTTTTTTAAAAATCAAGTTTTTAAAAGGCAGGGGCATAAGTGCCAAAGCTGCTTGAAGAGGAACAGCTACGGAGAAATCCTACAGTAAGAGGTTTTTGTTTTTGTTGTTTTTTTGGGGGGGTGTCATTCCATTGTGGGTTATATATCCTAGTTATTGGCATAACATTAAAATTAGTGACAATATACAGATTTCTTGTATAGGTTTTGAAAAACTAGCACTCCTCAAAATAAGAGACCAAGCAATGTAGTTTTGCTAATGGCACTTCATATGACTCATGATAGGGAAGAACTGTTGATGAGCATGACAAAAATAGCCTTAACTTCACCATTTATTTTATTAACATGGCTACCTTGCTAAAACATTTTCTGAAACCAAAAGCTAGGATGATCATTCATAGCATTGTCTTTTAAAAGACTATGTCATACTGCATCATTGGAAAAAAACATTCTGGAAGTCGGGTGCAGTGGCTCATGCCTGTAATCCCAGCACTTTGGGAGGCCAAGGCAGGTGGATCATGAGGTCAGGAGTTCGAGACTAGACTGGCCAACATAGTGAAACCCCATCTCTACTAAAAGTACAAAAATTAGCCAGGCATGGTGGCACCAACCTGTAATCCCAGCTATTCGGGAGGCTGAGGCAGGAGAATTGCTTGAACCTGGGAGGCAGAGATTGCAGTGAGCTGAGATCGAGCCACTGCACTCCAGCCTGGGCAACAGAGCAAGACTGTCTGAAAAAAAGAAAAAAAGAAAAACATTCTCGGTATTAGGATTTGCTTCCTGTTCTATTAGGTTATCTGTTCTCCCCTCTAACTTAAGGTAATGTGTGAAAACAGTGCCATTCAGATATTGCTTTCATAACTGTTCACAGGGCCTCAGCCTTTGGGGTTTTTAAACAGTCTTACTGTTAGCAAGAACATACCAGTGAAACTGCCTTTATACTGTTAGCAAGAACAGCAGACTCCCATTAAAAAAAACCTATTACCCTACTCAAATTATTCATCTTTAAAAAGGCATAAGGTTTGCTGGTTTTTTTTAAATGTTTATTATCTTGACTTTTTTTTCTCTTGAAAATTTTTGGATTGAAGATCATTTCAAAATGATCCAGGATATCAAAATCTATTTTTCCTGTTCCTAAGTTATTTCTCAAAACAAAGTATTCATCAGATTTCTATGTGTGATGACGTAGCAGTTACTAACAGAACCTCAGTGCACTTTTTGGTTAGATATTGCACACCAAATAGCTAAAATCAACTGCTTTTGGGATTCTAAATGTACTTAAAGTTACAAGATCTGTATGAAAATGCAAGACACATTAATAAAATTTTGGCGGCCAATTCATGATACAGCTCTTTTATCTCCAGATTCTGAGACTGAAAATATAACTTGATCAATCTATTGAATAATTACTGTAATAAAACAAATACTCCTTTAGAATTTTAATTTAGAATTTGTCTACTTCCAAAAAGTGTTTAAGCCAGTTACTATTAGACTGGCATTAGAAAGGTCATTTCAAATGTTGCAGAACACAGAGGATCTTCCTGTATTTAGCTTAACGATATAAAAAGAAATTTTGCAAGCATAAATATTCACTCTTACAACATGGTGGCAAGGTTTTTCTTTGTAGAACAATCTGACTGCCCTCTTACCTGCCAGTCTTCTCTCATGCTGAGCATGTGAGACAGTTAAGGGGAGAACACTAGAAGCAACTAAAATGATTGGCGAACTTCTCACTCTAACCAAAACTGCCTAACACACAAAATTACCGTCTACCCAACAGGGTTTTATGTCCTTTATCTATCTGAAAAGGGCACTAAATATAATTATTGTGGACTTGAGTATTTCTGAGGGGAGAAATCACCTTTATAAAGATAAAAGGCACAGAACTAACTTCTTTTATCCTTTATTGGTGCGACTGTGAAATATTATTACAGCTTATACTTTAGCAAGAAAGTGCTGAGAAGGCGGTTATTAATCGACAGTGAATGCCGTTGACACCTTCATGCTCTTTGAAGACTGGATGCTCCGGCTTTGAAGCGCTACGTTTTTACACTGCTAACCTACAGGAACCTATGTTGAGATGGTCCCACCGAAATAACACGGCTAATAGTTCATCTTTCCTCCAGGAACCTTGAGGTTTTACCAACCATCTTCAACCTAATTATCTACATCTTTGAGACATAAATTTGATGTGGCTAAAAAAATAAAATAAAATCCTCCTGGCTAGAATTTGGGTCCAATCCTTTAACGTTCGGAGACTCGAATTCTTTAACGAAACTCATCAAGGAGCTAGGCTGGCACATGTCCGACAAAATGTCCGCAAAAAACGTTTAAGACAAGCTGTCAGGAGGCCAGCTTGAGAGGCATCAGAAATGGCCTTGGCTGTCCTTTGAGCTAATTATCTAACACCCGAAGAGAGTGCCGGTTCCAGTTCGAATCGGCGCGTCAGGTTCTCCAACCGTCAGAAGGGCGTGTGCGAGGGCAGGGAGGATTTTAAGCCCCGTTTCGGGGCCCCTCCCTGGGCGGTAGGAAACCACCCACTCCGAAGCCCGGCGGGGGAGGAGTGCGGCAGCCAGCTGCCGAAGGAGCGCTCTGCGGCGAGGCCGTTTCCCTGAGTCACGGAGAGGGCGGGAGGCTGCGCCCGTGTGCTCCCGCCATGTCCTCCTGCAAAGGGCTCAGTCGAAACCGGCAAGGGCCGCAGGGGAAGGAATCGGCACCCGCCAGGCCTCAAGGTGGCCCACCTGCCACCTCACTCCCTGAAGACGCCGCACTTCTTGGAACGAACGCTCCATTCTGGCAGCAACCAGCCGACCCTTCCCCATCAGCATCACGTGCACATGGAAGTACGTGGGTGGGACCTAAAGCGCCCACGGAAGTGACGTTGTTCGCCCCGAGTCGCATGATGTGGCAAAATGAAAAAAAAAAAAAAAAAAAAAGCCGCGGTGGGGGGAGAAAAAGAAGCTTGGCGAAAATGAGTCTAAAAAGTAGTCCCTCGGGTGTCTCTGTTTCCCCATGCGCGTCAGGACGCGAGGGTCTGCGCGCGCCGCGACCGGAATTCCTGCGCCCGCCGCGCGCGCCGCTCCTCGGAAGGGTACATAAGGCGGGGGCGGGTGAGGCGACTGGGCGGAGTTCTGTCTCCGGGATCCATCCGCGGGGCTCAGCCGTTTCCGGAGTCTGCGCTGCGCCCGGTTCCGCCATTGCGGCTCTCCTGGCCCCTGGAGCCTCCGCCCCCGACCCGAGCTGTTTCGTCCGCCTGCCAGTTTCCTGCGTCCCCGGAGAGGATCCTGCCGAGCCCAGCCTTCCCCCTCCCCTTCTCCTCCTCTCCCTTGGAGAGCCCGGGCAGCCACTGCCCCGCAGCCCCAGTGACAGGAGGAGACCATACCCCCCGACAGCGCCATGGCCCAGATTCTGCCAATTCGTTTTCAGGAGCATCTCCAGGTGCGGCCGAGCCCGGGCTGGTGAGGGCTGTGGAGAAGGTGGTAGGAAGTATGGAGGATGCTGGAGTCTGGGCCTGAGCAGTATTGGAGCTGGGGAGGGGGGGGTTGTCGGTGTTTAGGGTAGATGGAGGAGGGGGCGGTATCTTAGAAAGCTTAAAAGGTTAAATAATGTGGGGATTGGATGGAAAGGACGGGAGTTGGGGTGCAAAGGGCTGCAAGGCCACGCCTGGATCCAAAGGCCTCTCGATCTTGCTTCCTGGATGGCCGGTACTGCGCGTACTAACTCTTCCCCTCCCCATTTTATTTAGTTCATTCATTTGGGTAGGGGAGTGGGAGAGGGGGATTCTCCCCTGTTTCTAACAGAGCAAGGATTCTTACCATCCCCTGGGCCAATGCAGGGCTGTCACCTTCTCTGGCTCTCCTCTTTTCCTCATCCAGGAGTTGTGGGGCGGGTGGGTTGGGGAGGAGCAACCTTTTTTTTTTTTTTCCTCCCTCTGCGGCTCTCAACTGAGAAAGGCACCTTCTCCGGTGGGGGGGGGTTGGGGGTTGGTGAGGCGGTGGCTTGTCTCTTGCCTTCCCTAAGGCAGTAGGGACAGAAGGTCACTGAAAGAACGGAACGCGGGTAGAATGGGGGAACGCATTTCTCAGAGTGTTGTCAATCTCAAGAGTGTGTGGAGTCAAGGTCCCTAGGGAAACTCGCCTCCCCTCCCCCCCTTTTTTTATTTCTCTGGGGATGTTGTGGCTGTTAACCCCTCTCTGGTTCTAGAAGGTGGGAAAGAGTTGTGCAGAGGTTATCTTCTAGTCTTCTCTAGTAGTAGCAGGTAGTTTTGCTATCTTCCTCAGGATCACATGGAATTGAACAGAGCCCTGGGGACAGAGCACAGCTGCTCTGAGACCTGCAGGGTTATTTTGTCTGTAACTGGCTTCCCTTTAGTAAGTTCTAGAGTTCTTCCCCGTGGTTCCTTATCCTGGAGGCAACATATTGTTGTCTCATCTGGCAGCATGCCAGTGGCCGGCCTAGGTCACAGAATTAAACCTTTTCAGAGCTTTTGATTTTCCGGTATCACCAATTCTGATTTTTACTGCAGCTGAAATAATTTATTCCTATTAAGTTGCTTTCTTCCCAAATATCCTCTTAAAGAAGCCTGCCTCAGCTCAATGGTCTGAAGGGTTAATTCCATCATAACAGAATGCGGTGGTTTGGCATGACACTAATACCAGTGACCTATTAGACACTGTACCCGTTGGAGACCATTTTTATTTACATTCCCCCATTGGCATAACATACATAAAGGATTCTTGTTAATAAAAGGGTTTAATAATTCAGGCTGTAAGTAACTTAATTTCATATTTCTTTGCAGGTATTACCATATTTGCACTAGCAAGGAATTACTTTCCTTTAAGGCTTGAAATGTAAAGAATAATAAATCTTTACCCATAAAATGAGTTAAATGATGCACTTTCTTCAGTCATAATTTTCAAATAACTCATCTGAAGTAATGGAATATACCTTGGCAATAAAAACACTTTTGCAGAAGGTTGAAAATGTTCAGTGACTTAAATGAAAGTTGCCAGGTAAAAAAAGAAGAAAAGAAAAAAGAAAAAATGTTCAGTGACAAAAATGGACGTGTTTTTCTGATCAATTCAACTTTAATTGCTGTGGTTACCTCTGTTAAAGTGGGGTGGGAAATGAATGTGGAGAGTTGAGAAGGTGCTATTCTTAAGTGTGAAAGGAAAACGTAGGCTTATTTTCATATTAAAGTGCATCTGAAATATCTTTCTGCAGACAAATGTTTATAAACCACACACAGAGAATCAAATACAGCTGCTGTTTATTTTCCACGGCAGATGTATAGCTCATTACTAAATCTTGTGGTGGTTCAAGTAATAGCTTTTCATTTCTTTTAAAGAGGAGACAAGAATTGTTAAATGATCCCAAAGATTGGAACCCAACCTCGTCAGTTATTGAAGACAAATTTAATACATGTCTGTTTTCTAACTGGTTCAAAGTTTCTGCAGACACTTGAGCGAAGCCATTTTGTTCTCAAATAATTTGAAGATTTTGAATATAAAGCAGATTTGTAAATTGAAAATTTCAGTCTGTTTTTTGGATTGCTATGCTTAACTAATGTGACTGTGTGCTCCAGCTGATTAATTGCAGAGCCCAATAACCACAGCTTCTTCCATGATAATGTACGTCCTGACTTCATATCATTATCTCCTCCCTTTTTAAAAATTAGAAGGTTTTTGTTTTTTGAAGAGACAGGGTTTTTGCTCTGTCATCCACGCTAGAGGTCAGTGGTGCCGTGACAGTTCACTGCAGCCTCAACCTCCAGGACTCAAGCCGTCCTCCCACCTCAGCATCCTGAGTAGCTGGGACTACACACATGAGCCACCACACCTGGCTAATTTTTGTATTTTTTGTAGAGATTGGGCTTCACCGTGTTACCCAGGCTAATTTCCTGGGCTCAAGCAGTCCTTTGCCTCTGCCCCCACACAGTGCCGGGATAGGAGGTGTGAACTACCAAGCCGAACTAATAAGGATTATTTTGATTGGTGTCTTTGGTCTCTGAACTCTGAGCTTCTACCAGTTTGCTAAGTAGCAGAAAACTTTCTGAAACACATAGGATAAAAACTGGAAACAAGGAATGAGGAACTTAGGTCTGAGTATAGAGTTAGCTTGTGAAACTGTAAATGAACTTATTTTTAGACCCTTTAACTACATTGTCTAGTTGAAGGATCTGTCATCATCAATGGACCGATAGTAAATGAATGTTAATTTATAAATATTTCTTTTTTTCTGGACTGGTAGCAGTTAATAAATGAGTGTGTATTTGAGCAAGATATTGTTGGAATTGCAGTTTCTTAAAAATCCTAGGCTACATATATAAATTATTGCCTGTGATTCTCAATTTTTTGGCACATTAAGTATCTTTAGGCCACCTGACACATTCCTTTGTATTTCTAGATTACTTGGGTCTCCAATTAAAAATCACCCTAACCTATTCTTTGCCCTTTGATCCATAAAAGCAGGCATGGAATGTGTTGTTGAGTCTAATGTTAGGGATTCCTGCTCTGGTTATTTTGGGTTGCAAATAGAAAGCAATGCTAAGTACTAGGATTTACTACATGCTTAGTTGCACTGTCTGGAAGAGGTGTACTTCCTTGAGTTATGCTGCAGTCTCCTGGGAATAGCTGCTAAGTTTAAAATGTATCATATTCTTCAGAATTTTCTTGATGGTCAGTTTACTTAGCTTAAAGTGGTGTGGTTAACTTTAGTGAAAGGGCTTTCACTCTGATTAGGAAATAAGACACAGAATGGTGTGTATGTAGAACACAATCATTTTCATTTGAGTATTTAGGAAAATTCACATTTCAGGAACCTTGGTAGTTGCTCTTGAACAATTGTTTCTGACCATAATTGGAACCTGTACCTTGCTTTTAAAAGGTTCCATTTACATTGAGTCCTCAGCTTCTTTGCAAAATTGTTTCTTCCATGCATATGTTTAACTTTATATGTCATTTGACTTATTTTTAACAAGATGCCCTTTTCTCTGTCATTGTTACTGTTGTGGCTTTTTCTCTTTGAGAGTTATTGTCCAATAGAACTTTCTTCAATGATGGAACTGTGTACTAGCTACATAGGGATATTGAGCACTTGAAATGTGGCTGATGTGACTCAGGAACTAAATTTGTGCTTCAATTTCTTTTTAATTAATTTAAATGTAAATAGCCACATGTGACAATTGACTACAATATTAGACTGCACAATTACAGGCCATGCTGATGTGCTTTGTAAGTTTGAAGATTTAACCTACCACTCATGTTTATGTATTTCATTAGATAAAATTAAAACACTCATTGTTCAGAAGTTTTAACTGATTACTGTCTTGGAAAGTGGTGGTAATAAACAGTGACTAGCAGCAGACTTCTTGAGACATTATTATTGCTATAAATTTGGTTAGGTATTTTCAGGTCTTCACTCAGTCTTCCAGACAGCTTTCTAAAAAGTGAGACTCAAAGTAGTGGGAATGCTGTCCAAATGGGATGTATACCTGGGTCTTCTGACACAAAGTATTTCAAAGAAATTGAATAATTGGCCTTAAAAAGAGAGACCCAGAAAGGTGAGTTCTCTCTACTTGTTTATAGATTAATGATGTGGTATAGTAGAACAGGGCTTTAGGGGTTGTTGAAACCACTGTTTCCAGTAGAACAATATGAGCCACATACTGTTTTTTTTTTTTTTTTTAAAGACGGTCTTACTCTGTCACACAGGCTAGAGTGCAGTGGTGTGATCTCAACTCACTGCAGCTTCCAGAGTCAAGTGATTCTTCTGCCTCAGCTTCCCGAATAGCTGGAATTATAGGCACCTGCCACCACACCTGGCTAATTTTTGTATTTTTTAGTAGAGATGAAGCTTTACCATGTTGACCAGGCTTATCTCCAACTCCTGACCTCAAATAATCTGCCCACCTTGGCCTCCCAAAGTGCTGGGATTACAAGCGTGAGCCGCCACCCCTGGCCTCACATGTTTTTGCATTTTCTAGCAGCCATGTTAAAAGTGAAAAAACAGATAAAATCAATGAATGTGTGTGTGTGTGTGTGTGTGTGTGTGTGTGTGTGTGTGTGGAGTCTTCCTCTGTCACCCAGGCTGGAGTGCAGTGGCATGATCTCTGCTCACGACAGCCTCTGCCTCCTGTGCTCAAGCAGTTCTACCTCAGCCTCCAGAGTAGCTGGGATTACAAGTGTGCACCACCACGCTTGGCTAATGTTTTATATTTTTAGTAGAGACGGGGGTTTTACCACGTTGGCCAAGCTGATCTTGAACTCCTGACCTTGCGATTAGCCTGCCTTGGCCTCCCAAAGTGCTGGGATTAGAGGCATGAGCCACTGTGCCCAGCCTAGTTTGTATTTCTTTTTTCTTTCTTTCTTTTTTTTTTTTTTGGTTGGCAGGGGGAGGTGCAGAGACTCACTCTGTCACCCAACCTGGAGTGCGATGGCATGATCTCAGCTCACTGCCACCACCAACCCCTGGGTTCAAGTGATTTTCCTGCCTCAGTCTGCTGAGTAGCTGGGATTACAGGCACCTGCCACCCCATCTGGCTAATTTTTTGTAATTTTAGTAGAGACGAGGTTTCACCATGTTGCCTGGGCTGGTCTTAAACTCCTGACCTCAGGTGATCTGCCCACCTCTGCCTCCCAAAGTGCTGGAATTATAGGCATGTGCCACTGCTCCCGGCCATGTGTGTTTTATACTTAGAGCACATATCAATTCAAACCCTATTTTCATTGGAAATAACTAGTCAGTATTTAGAGTCATAAAATGTACAGTTAGAAAGTCAGATTTTGGGATGGGGGAGTTGGCTCGTGCCTGTAAACTCAGCACTTTGGGAGCCAAGGTAGAAGCATTGCTTGAGCCCAGGAATTTGAGACCAGCCT